TAGACCCTAGTTTCTCAGTGGACATCTGGCAACTGTCCCTTCCTTGGGTATAGCTTCTTACTCCCTCCCTTTCTTCTTCCATCTCTCTTTAGATGCAGGCTCTGATTTCCTGTGAATGCACCATCTGTCCTGACTGCTTCCGCCAACACTTCACCATTGCCGTGAAGGAAAAGCATATCACAGATATGGTGTGTCCTGCCTGTGGCCGCCCTGACCTTACGGATGACACACAGTTGCTCAGCTACTTCTCTACCCTTGACATCCAGGTACTGCAGCCCCTAGTGTTCAGGTGCCTATGCATCAAATAGGAATCCTACCTACCCACTGCCTCTGCATCCTGTCCCCAGCTTCGGGAGAGCTTAGAGCCAGATGCCTATGCACTGTTCCATAAGAAGCTAACCGAAGGTGTGCTGATGCGGGACCCCAAGTTCTTGTGGTGTGCCCAGGTAAGTGCCCTGCCCATAACAACTGACTGTGGAGGAACAGGGGACGATGCCAGCTTGGTCCTCAGATAACTTTATGCTCTTGCTCTCAGTGTTCCTTTGGTTTCATATATGAGCGCGAACAGTTGGAGGCAACATGTCCCCAGTGTCACCAGACCTTCTGTGTGCGCTGCAAGCGCCAGGTGAGTCATGTGCATTCTTTCAAAAATATTTGCTAAACTATTGCTAAGTACTGCATTAGACTCATGGAGTATTTTGGAAGGCAGAATAGACATAAGCTCTGAGCTTAAGAGGTAGGAAGCCAGGCACAAGGAGAAAAGGAAGATGGTGGGGTGGGGAGAAAAAGGGAGGAGGAAGGAAAGGAGGAAGTAGGGAAGAAAATCAAGGGGGGGGGGAATAATTGTACGTAGGCATAAGTTCTATGCAGAAAACAAGTAGGAATCTGACAGGAATGAGAGCTGGACCTAATGAAGACAGAGAAGTCTTCTCTAAAATGGTTTAGTTTAAGCTCAGGCCTGAAAGTTAAGCCATGCAGAAAATATTTGGGGAGAAGGAACAACCCAGGGAATGGCCAGAGTTAGAAAAAGTGTTGTGTGGCTGGAATCTTGAGAGCAAGGGTGAACCTGGGAGGTAGTTGGAGAAAAGGTAGCTGCCAGATCAGGATAGCCCTTGAGGTCAAGTGAGGCAGATATTTGCCTTTTATTCTGAGACTAGGCAAGGGGTGACGCTCTTATTTATCTTTTAAGAAGTTCAGTGTTTGAGCCCAGTGTGGTGGTGCATGTGTATAATCCCAGCTACATGGGAGGCTGAGACAGAAGGATTTCAAGTTCAAGGCCAGGCTGGGCAACTTAGTGAGACCTATCTCAAAATAAAAAGGACTAGGAGAATAGCTCAGTGGTAGAGCACCCCTGGGTTCAATCCCAGTACCATGAAAAAAAAGTAAACATTTAAAGCATGATACTTAAAAACTTGCATCTCTTTTATGAAAGATGATAATAAAATGAATATCCCAAACCCTACCACCCGACTTCAAAACTAGCACACTACTAATATGCTTCCTGACTTATACTTTGAAAGGTCTTTTGGCTACCGTGTGAAGAACGGGCTACTGGGGAGTAGAAGTAGTATCAGAGAGACTAATAATTCAAGCAAGCGATTGAGGCCAGTATCTAATGATGGCTTGGAGTAAGATGGTAGCAGTAGCAGTAAAGATGAAGAAAAGGGACAGGGTTGAGATAGGTTTGGATGGTGAAAACAAGAGTTATGAATGAATTTGAAGTGGTGGGAAAAAGTGAGGAAACCAAGATGGCTCCTCAATTTTAGGAATTGAACAAATGGTAGATGGCAGCAACATAAACTATGCTAGGTACCACTGGATGGATATAAGTGGGGAAACCAGCAAGAAAGGCATGGCATTAGATAGAACTTCCATGCAAAACCTACTTTCCTTCTGCCAGTGGGAAGAGCAGCACCGAGGGCGGAGCTGTGAGGATTTCCAGAACTGGAAACGCACAAATGACCCAGAATACCAGGCCCAGGGCCTGGCAATGTATCTTCAGGAAAATGGCATTGGTAAGGCTGCCTCTCTGGACCTGTCTACTCAATAGTCTGTCATTGGCAGTAGCTCTCTTCTTGAGGGCCTTGAGTTGCAGTGGCAGCTCCAGCCCTAATCTAGTGTCCCTTACAGACTGCCCCAAATGCAAGTTCTCATACGCACTGGCCAGAGGAGGTTGCATGCACTTTCACTGTACCCAGTGTCGCCACCAGTTCTGCAGTGGCTGCTACAATGCCTTTTATGCCAAGAATGTGAGTTCAGAGAATGGGGAAGGAAGAGAAGGGTGAAGGGTGGGGGGCTGCCATTGGTTTGAGGAGCAGAGGCCATTGAGGAGTGACCCAGGTGAAGAGGAGGTCAGTGAGATGTAAAGTACTTCTCTCTCTTCTTTCCCCTTTGCTTGCTCCAGACCCTCCAGTGTCTCTATCTCCCCTCACCCCCTTACCTCTCACATAGGGGTTCTTGAGAGTCTAGGACCCCAGCAGTCTCCAACTACCCCTCTCCCATCTGGGTTTCCACCAGAAATGTCCAGACCCTAACTGTAGGGTGAAAAAGTCCCTGCATGGCCACCACCCGCGAGACTGTCTCTTCTACCTTCGGGATTGGACTGCTGTCCGTCTTCAGAAACTGCTTCAGGTCAGAGGTCCCCAGCCTTGCTGAGTTGCAAGTTACCCAGGAAGAGGAGACAGAGTCTAGGGTGGGCAAAATGGAAAAGGCTGTATGTATGCTAGGAGATGCAACAGTGACTGGCATTAGGGGACATAATGTCCATCTGTCTTTGCCCTTCCTCAGGACAATAACGTCATGTTTAATACAGAGCCTCCAGCTGGGGCCCGGACAGTCCCTGGGGGTGAGTATCAGTACAGTCTCTAAGAAGGGAAGGTAGTGAGTTGGCTCCTACCATGTGGTAGGTAAAGTGGGGAGTCTTGTGTCTGGAATCACTTGAGTGCCTTTTGACAAGTTAATTAACCTCCTCATGTCTTGTTTCTTCCTCTGTAAAATGAGAGTAATGATACCCTCTATGCAACTAAGCTATTTTATGTAAAATTTCATTAAAGCAGTGGTCCTTAATGGTGAGTTTCTTCTCAGATTCTCAAATGGTAATGATTCATAAATGATAATGATTCATTAACTAACTCCATGAATAATGAGACCCGCTAGCTGCAGGGCACTGTTTTGGGTTCCTTGGGGGCAACAGAAAAATGTTACATAAGATTCTAACCTGCCTTACTTCTCATCATCTATATAGAGGTAAGATCTCAGAATAAGTTAACTGGTTATGCTGGAGCTAAATAACGACCAAGAGAGCTGTTTCATGGGCCAAAAGTCAGCTTGGATAAAAGTAGGAACAGCAAGGTCCCTGCCTCTGTATCAGAGTTGGTCTGCTGCTGATGGTGTCTGAGTATCTCCCACAGGAGCAAGAGTCCCTGTTTTCAGTCCCCTGTCTGGAAGCTTCCTCCCCATGCTGCATGCATATCCCAGTTCTCCAGGGGCTTTGTGGTCAATGAGCTTCTCCTAACCAAAGGTTTCTTCTCTTACCCTTAGGTGGGTGCCGAGTGATGGAGCAGAAAGAGGTTCCCAATGGTCTCAGGGATGAAGCTTGTGGCAAAGAAACCCCACCTGGCTATGCCGGCCTCTGCCAGTAAGTGCCAGGCAGGGCATGGAGCATGATGTTGGAAATGGGGAAAGAAATGGTGAGGGTATGCCCAGGCAGTAAAATGGGAACAGTAGATCCTACAAAGAGTAGACAAGGGCATAGATGGGTAGTAGCAGGCAGCATACACTTGTTGGCTCTGCCTAGTCTAGCTTCCTTGAGGATTCCAGTGTTCATCAAGGTGCTAGGCACACTCAATTAATATTAGCCAACAGAAGAACAAATAATCTGCTCTTTCATACCCCCAGGGCACACTACAAAGAATATCTTGTGAGTCTCATCAATGCCCACTCATTGGACCCAGCCACCCTTTATGAGGTTGAGGAGCTGGAGACGGCTACTGAGCGATACTTGCATGTGCACCCCCAGCCACTGGCTGGAGAAGATCCCCCTGTCTACCAAGCCCGCTTGTTACAGGTAAAGCCTTCACCCAGCCTTTCCCTTGACACCACCCTCTGGAAGTCTCCTGTCCCAACCTCCAGGCTTCTGTTATCATTATCCTTTCTCCTTCTACAGAAACTGATGGAAGAAGTGCCCTTGGGACAGAGTATCCCCCGCAGGAGGAAGTAACTGAGGGCAAAGGTCCTGATGAGGGTCTTGTGGCCCAGCTCCCTCAGGAACAGCTCCAGCACCAATAAAGAGGCATCTTATTGCCCCAGCTTCTTGGTGGTCCTTCTTCCTGGCCCCACCATCTAGGGGCACCAGGGAAAGGGGGGTGAACAGAGTTTACTTAAAGGGCCCCCTGCAGCCTACCATCTGATTCACTCTGGACCCAGGGCAAGGAAGAAATTGACATATGGATGGGCAAGTGAGGACCTCCCCATCCAACCACCCAGCCTGGGCTTCTTCTGTTCCTTTCTCCCTTCATCATTCCATCAAATTCTGCTGGTATTTGAGGTCCCCAAGAGGGCACTATGGGGGAACACAGATGTGCAACACAGCGATCCAGAGGGAATGGCCTCACTGGGGAAGCAGCAACATCACACAGAGAAGGTTAGATATAAGAAAGGAGTGTAAGAGGGAAGAAGAGGAGAGGAAGGAGCCAGACAGGAGTTGAGCCTGCAGAAAGTGGTCCTCCTTTGCTGACAGTGGAATTGACAGTGAGGCTCTCAGATGTTGCTTCCCCCTAGTGGTAGCCAGTTACCCTACAACTCAGACCATGTGATTTCTGGGAAAAGGACCTCCCAGGAGGAAATCGAAACTTAGAGGGTGGGGACTGTAGAGAGGGGTGGAGAAATCCGACTGCTTAGGCTCAAGCAGAGCTAAAGCTCCCCGATCTCTGAGGCACAGCAATTCAGGTAAGAGCAGACAAGATGGTTTTTTTGCCTGGGATCTGGAGCTAGTAGGGGTTGGTGGCTCCTGGGACGCTTCTGCCAGGCAGAGAGAAAAGCCCGAGAGTCAGTAGGAGGTTTGGCTTGAGTGAAAAACTGATAAGGGCCAGTACCCTAGGCCCCTGTAGGCAAGGGCCATAGAAAAACTCATTTGTCTATGAAGGAAGGTTCTTGGCCCAACCTCAGATTACCCTGTTTATTTTCTTGCTTTTTGGCCCTGCCCACTTATGCTGAAACTCCACCCCTATCTCCCCCCTCCTCATGGCCTCTGGGCAAAGGAGAGATAGGGGTCAAAGGATAAATTGTAAGAGTGGCAGGTGCAAAAGTTTCATGGACATCTCAGAAGGATATAGCTTCTGCAGATATTTAGCAATCTAGACAGAGCCTCTGACCAGAACATCAAGGGGATTCTCTCGTAAACAATACATATCTGAAAAGTCTTGAAATTAAGACCTGTGGTTTCCTTCCAAATATCAACTCTGGACGTTAGAGGTTGGTTTGTTTTTTGTTTCTTTCTTTTTTTTTTTTTTTTTCTTCTTGGTACTGGGGAATTGAACTCAGGGGTGCTTAGCCATTGAGCACCTTTTTCACTTTTTTTCCACTTTGAGGCAGTATCTAGCTAAGTTGTTTAAGGACTCCCTAAGTTACAGTGGCTGGTCTTGAATTTGTGATCTTCCTGCCTCAGCTCACAAGTTGCTGAGATTACATGTGCCACCATGTCCAGTGAATTTTTAAAAAATAATAATTGTTAGTGATAGCAGAAACAAAATAGTTTTGCCTCAGAGAATATAGAGGTATGTCTAGAGCCAAAAGAAGATGCATGGGTCTGAGCTATTGTTAGAAACTGACCTCAGTGGTCAGAATCTTAACAGATGTTCTCTCACAGTGTTAGTTCTGATGCTTCTTGCTCCTCTTATCTCTCAGGATGGCAACAGGCAGGGCACGTTCTACGCGAAAGCTCCGGAATTGGGTGGTAGAGCAAGTGGAGAGTGGGAATTTCCCAGGAGTGTGCTGGGATGACACAAATAAGACCATGTTCCGGATTCCCTGGAAGCACGCAGGCAAGCAGGACTTTCGGGAGGACCAGGATGCTGCCTTCTTCAAGGTGAAGGGCCTGGAAGCCACCATCCCCCATAAGCAAGAAATGGAGTATACCCTGGCATACTTCCCCTTGAGCACCTTTATCTACCTGGATTTCAAACAAAGAGCATATTGGAGAGTAGAACCAGCTATGTCATTTGCAGAGCCCAGTACAAAAGGAAAATGCAGAGCCCACATTAAACATTTATTAAGCATTGCAAGATGGCAACATCAGAACACAAACCCATTCTAAGCCCATCTGAGTTAAGGGCCTATGCAAGTGCTCAGGCTGCATACCTGTAAAGCCAATACTGTTGGAGGGACAGCTGATATATGTGACATGTTGTCTCTTCTTTGCTTCCTCTCTTTACTAGGCCTGGGCTATATTTAAGGGAAAGTCCAAGGAGGGCGACATAGGAGGCCCTGCTGTCTGGAAGACTCGCCTGCGCTGTGCCCTCAACAAGAGTCCTGAATTTGAAGAGGTTCCTGAGAGAGGCTGTATGGATGTTGCTGAACCCTACAAGGTATATCGGCTGCTGCCACCAGGCACCCTCCCTGGTAAGTGTTCCCTTGTTGAACCCTTCCTAGAATCAGCTGCCTGGAGCAGAAAGATGGAGATACGAGTCTCTTGGGAAGGTGGTGGTTTTCTCCCAGGCCTCTCAGAGTCTGCCTTGTCCCTACCTTTGGGAAGCTGCTATCCAGATTCCCTTTCCAGTCCTGTCCATCCTTTCACTGCTATAGATCTCTCCTCTACCTTCTTTTCCTGTCTTTCCTCTCAACAATTCCACAGCCCAGCCAGAGACCCAGAAATCACCATCAAAGAGACGCCACAGTTCCGTGTCCTCTGAGAGGGAGGAGGAGGAGGATACCTCGAACAACTGCACACTCAGTCCCAACTATCTCCAGGACCCCCTCAATAATGTGAGAGCTGGGTGGTGGTGGTAAAAGGTGGGAGAGTTGGGGGGTGATGGTAAAGGGTGGGCCTAAGGGCAGTACAGGAACTAGAGAAATGGGCTCATGATAGATGCTATATCTGCAGGAGGTAAGGACTAATGGGGAAGCAAGCCACTCAGACAGTAGAAGCAGCAGCAGCAGCAGCAGCAGAAGCAACAGCCCTGAGTCACAGGAAGGTACTACCTCCCCTGCCTCTGTGTTGTCTACCTTGCCACATCCTCTGGCCCTTGGACTCCCCAGTTCCACTCTGAATAACCAGTGTCTCTGCTTCCCTTCCAGGTGTGGATACCACTGAGGCTACTGTTCAAGAGGATCAGGTATCCATGGAGCATCTCCCCCCTCTGAACTCAGGTACTTGGCATTTCTGACTCTTTCCTGCTCCCTTTCCCCCAGGTCTGCTTCCTTTGACTTTGCATGCATATCTAGTCCACCAGTTACAGCAAACTGAGCCCACCTTATTTAGACAGAGGCACTGGTTTCTAGGCAGTGAAAATTCTATGTACTTGGCCAGACCCCACCCTACATGCTCTGTTCCCTGGATATCCATGTTGAGACATTGATTTCTTTGGGTTCAGCAGAGGCCCAGTCTTCAGGGACCTTCTTGTAAAATGCAAGACCTCATCCTCAAGTTTATAAATTGCATTAAGCACTGATATGGGTGAACCCATATGCTAGCTGATTTTCTGAATAACAAGAAAACCCAATAGGAAGCCCCTAACTAGCTACCTCAGAAAGTGCAGTTGCTGCCCTAGCCCTAGAGCCTCCTTTGTCTTCCACAGCCTTTGTTTGGTTTCCCTTTCTGGACCTCATTAGCAAAATGAGGACATAGGATGGCAAGAAGCTCTACTTCATTTTCTTAAAGCCCGTGTTGACCAGGTGTATCCCTGGGGGGAGAGGCTGCTACAACCTGCATGCTCCTCCAGGACCTGGTGCAGCTCTGCTGTTCTGTCCCCAGACTACTCGCTGCTACTAACCTTCATCTACAGTGGGCGTGTGGTAGGCAAAGCCCAGGTGCACAGCCTGGACTGCCGCCTTGTTGCTGAGTTCTCAGACTCCAGGAGCAGCATGGAACAGGTTGTATTTCCCAAGCCTGACCCATCAGAGCCCATCCAGCGCCTCCTGAGCCAGATTGAGAGAGGCATCTTGGTGGCCAGTAACTCCAGAGGTCTCTTTGTACAACGCCTTTGCCCCATCCCCATCTCTTGGAATGCACCCCAGGCCCCACCTGGGCCAGGCCCGCATCTGCTACCCAGCAATAAGTGTGTGGAGCTCTTCAGGACCACCTATTTCTGCAGAGGTAAGACTGCTCCAGCTGGGTACTTAGGCCTTGCCCCCTAGCTCTTAATATTCCCTGGGTCTAATATGATGGGTCCTGCCACCAGCCTGTCCAACAGGTCCTCACTGTAACCTGTGCACATCCAGAGTAGTCATAAACTCATCCCTGGCAGCTCTCCTTCCCTAGCCAAGGTCATGGAAGATTAGTTTCAGGTGGAGCCTAGTATGAGAGTCACATTTTGGGGAACATCGTCAGATTGAAGGATACTGTAATTATATGAAGTTGAGTGAACAAGTCAGCACAGAGATTTTGGCACACACAACTCTGCATATGTGGGAGAGCCAGTGCACCTTATATGCCCTGGTACACTGCCCCTGTCTCTGCCACACTCCAGTTATCCTCTAAAGCTATCCCTCTCTCCCATCCAGTCTTGTAATTCTAGTTGCCTCCATTCAACTCTAAATCTGACCTTAGGAATGGGGCCAGGAACACAGGAGATAGAGTATTGGTGTTCCCAGATCTGTGGGTACCCTAGTGCTGGAAGGGTGTGAGCAAGCAACAAAGGTGTTAGCAACCAGGGCTGCTGCCTTTGAGGATGCTAAACTCTCAGTGGAGAATTTTTCAGGTTGAGCTGCTACCTCTAAACACTTTTTGAGGAAGGGGCCCCCTTTCCTATTTGCACATGGGCAAGTAGCAGCTTAGTTTATAGCATTCCTCCTGTCCCACAGCTCCTTCTTTGGCCTTGATCTCTATGTGGCCTCACTCCCAACTCTATTTCTCCAACATGGATTCTTTGATAGTCCTTCCTTGTCTGTGGACCCTCTCTCTCTCTCCTCTTTTTTCCCCCCACTTTTGGTACTGGGGATTGACCCACAGGTACTCTATCACTCAGTTACACCCCCAGCCCTTTTTATTTTATTTTGAGACAAGGTCTCACTAAATTGCCAAGGCTAGCCTTGAACTTGCAATTTCCTGCCTCAGCATCCCAAGTCACTGGGGTTACAGGTGTGTTCCATCATACTCGGTCTTCTCTCTGCATTTTTCTAACCTTTGTCCCTTTATCTTTTAGATTTGGACAGGTACTCCCAGGGCCTGGGCCCCCTACCCAAGTTCCAGGTAGCACTGCATTTCTGGGAGAGGAGCTCTGACCCCAACAATACCTCACAGAATCTTATCACAGTGCAAGTGAGTTCAGAGCAGGGGCAGAATAGCCTGTCTGCTGGGGAGAGGGGAAGAGGTATTCAAGAAGAAGGGGTCTTCTTTGTGGGAAGGGAGCTCCTGGGGGTAGTGTCTGTCCTGCTGTGTTCACTGAGCCCTGTTCCTCATCTCTTCCTGTACAGATGGAGCAGGCCTTTGCCCGACATTTACTGGAGAAGAGGAGCAAGCAGCCACTTTTATCCTGCTGTAGTCTAGGGGACCCACCTGCTGCCTCACCTCTCTATTCCTCCTTTCTCCTTTGAAATAGACTCATGCTTCACTCTGTTTTACTGGCTTCCCTTTGTGATAATGGTCATGGCTGTAAATTATGTCCTTGAACTGCTTACCCACCCTGGCTCATGAGAAACTCAAGGATTATTTTTGTCCTTTTAAAAAAACATACCCTCTTTTATCTCCAAGGAACTGGGATATTCCAAGTGGTAGAAACTCAAGGGGGCCTTTCCCTTTTCACCCAACCTCCAGTTCAAAAGCCAAGCACTTTACATTTTCTTCCTACATCTCCAATAAGGATTTAAAATAAAAATTTTATTGAAAGATGAATCAGTATTTGATTTGTTGGGAGAAGAAGGTGGCACTTGGGTTCTTTTCCTCCTGACATATCTAGGCCCCTGTGCTCTACTCCACCCATACATTCTAGCTGGGACACTGTCTGGGCTCTGTGGGTTCTGGACCTGGCATTCTTCAGAGAGGTACCCAATAGGTAACCAAGATAAGGGAGAGTTTGGAATCATCCACCAAGAGAGAATGGGCCTATAGGCAAACAGCCAGACATTACAGCCACCATCTTCACATTGGAAGATCTGGGCTCCAGTGTTTTGCTAGACACCTCTACTTCAGGCCTGGGTTGGGTTGAGGCCTAAGCAAGGAGGAGATACTTGAGGTTGACCTGAAACTACGGTCTAGAAGCCCTGGGACCTGGGGATAGAGGGACAAGAGGGAAGAGTTGCTGAACCTCCTGTGCTTGTTGCTCCTGTCTCTGTGGGGCCATATCAGACCCTGATGCCTTTTCCTCCAGCACAGAGTATACTGTCACCCAACAGGAGGTCATGGTGGTGCATGCCTATAATCACAGCAATTCAGGAGGCTGAGGAGGAGGATCAGAATGTTGAGGCCAGCCTAGGCAATTTAGTAAGACCCTGCCTCTAAAAAAAGTAATGGCTAGGAATATGGCTCAGTGGTGAACTATACTTGTCTAGCATGGGTGGGGCCCTGGGTTTCATTCCCAATAACACACACAAACAAACAAAAAAGCTCCTCCAGACTGGATTCCTTATTCCACCTGAGACCCATAAAAGACCACCTGGCCTAGAATGTCTTGTTCCCAACACCTTATTTGCTGAAATCTGTGGACTCCAAATTGGCTGACACTCCTCTCCCTTACTCCATGTTCATTTTACCACCAAACTGGAAGTTCTTACTTTACATGGCCACTGTCATTCACTTTTCTGAATACTCACTTCCACTAGACTAATTCCAGTCCAGGCCACTTGCTCACCTGACTTGTCATAGCCTCTAGCTTTCCCTTTCCTGCACATGATACCAGGTTGGTTTTCCAGACTCCTTCCTGCTCTATCACTCTTATAAACCCTCAGTGGCTCACCTTCATGATCAAATATAGATACCTAAACGCTCTTAGGATCTCACTATCCCAATTGATCAGTCTCAGTGCTGCCTTGGAGCCTTTCTGCCTCCTACACTTCCCTCTTTCCTTTGGTCTATCCATTCTCCTGGGAAGTCAAGAGCCTAAACAGACATCTGCACTAGCAGCAGAGAAAGATACTGAGTACCCAGGTGCACAAACCTTTTTGTGCCCTCAATTTGCTGAAATTATTTCCTTTACTTCCGTCTTCTCTCATCCCACATCCAGTCCATCAGTAAATCTTGTTATTTAAAAATATATCCAGAATCTGACTTCTCTCTGCTTCCACCACTACCACTTTGAAACAAAACAAACCACCATGATCTCTAATTCTCTTCTTTGCTTCCTTCCACATCTCTTTTTCCACTCTTATCTGTCTTCAGCCTATTCTCAAGGCAGCAGAGATCTTCATTGGCATATAAATCTGCTCATAACTTTCCATTGACTCCCAACCCCCTCAGGGTAAAAGACCTTTACAACATCCTGTTTTGTGGCCCTCTGCCTCTCTCTCTATTCCCCGCACCCCCACATACTTGGGACATGCTACATACTTGCCTTGCATATGCTACATGCTAGGCAAGTGCTCCATTACTGAACTACTTTCGCAGTGCCTGGCTAAGTTGCTGAGGCTGGCTGGAACTTGTGATCCTCCTGCCCAGCCAAGTTAGCTGGGATTACAGATGTGCATCATCACACCTAGTTCCAGTTCTCTCCTACCTCACCCTTTGTCATTCTTTCCCTCCATTGCTTTGCTCTAGGCAGCCTCCTTGAATCCACCAAACACGTTTCTACCTTAGGATCTAGGATCTTTTTTATTTTATTTTTTGGTACCAGGAATTGAATTCAGGGGCACTCAACCCCTGAGCCACATCCCCAGCCCTATTTTGTATTTTATTTAGAGACAGGGTCTCACTGAGTGGCTTAGCACCTCACTTTTGCTGAGGCTGGCTTTGAACTCACAGTCCTTCTACCTCAGCCTCCCGCGCCACTGGGATTACAGGTGTGCACCACCACACCTGGCTTACTTTAGGGTCTTTGCACTTGCTTTTTTTTTCTTTTTTGTCTAAAACTCTCTTCCTTTAGGTAATCATATCATCTCTTCAGAGAGGGTCTCCCTGAGGATGCTATTTCCCTCCCCAAATAGCTCTCATCCTCCTATGCTCATTAGGCTTTGTCCTCCTTCTATGTCATTATTTTTCATTGTAGCACTGATCACTGCTTCATATATATTTGCCTACCATTTATCCTCTCCTTTCCTTTTCCCTGAAAACAAGGATTTGTTTTTTTCCTTGCTGTATCTCCAATGACTAGAGGAATACTTGGCACATAGTAGACATGGAATAGACACATAATTAATACCTGTCAAATTGAATGACTAGCTGAATGAATGAACACATTAATATATGTTCTTTGCTCATCTCCTAAACTAGGTTCTAAGCAACTTCAGGGTAGGTGCCCCCACTTCATCTTTTTTTTTTTTTTTTTTAGAATTTTAATATTTATTTTTTAGTTTTCGGCGGACACAACATCTTTGTTTGTATGTGGTGCTGAGGATCGAACCCGGGCCGCACGCATGCCAGGCGAGTGCGCTACCGCTTGAGCCACATCCCCAGCCCCCCACTTCATCTTTGAATCCCAAAGTATTTATAAACATCAACAACTTGAGGACAGTGCTTGAAACAATTTGTAAGTGTCATGTGGAAACTAGTTTAGCCAATCACAGTGGAACAGGGATTTGGAACACTGGAATTTAAGAGAGCAGCATTCCCAACCAGGCTTTCAACAGGGAGCTGCACAGGCTAGAAGAAACAATCATAGTGGATTTCTGCTTTCTCATGTGTAAAGGTAGGGCTTGAACTAAATAGCCAAGGCAAGTGTTTTTTGATGTTATTCTTTTGTTTTGGGGGTGTGAGGATAGAACCTAGAGCCTCACACATGCTAGTAGACATGGACTAGATCTAAATTCCTTTCAGCATTGACATTCTGATTGTAAATATAGGGCAACTGCATAATTATGTGACAAACACTCACTGCTCTGGATGCCTGATAATCCCTACAAAAGCAAGATCCCAATCTCAAGAGCTCCCCAATTGAAGGGGACTATAAAAAGGTAGGGTCAACTCAGCTGCAACAAGAACTAAAAGTCTTATACCAGAGCCTGCCAAGAATCGATTCAAGAAAGATTCAAAGAAATGACTGTGCAAAGGTCATAGGCTCAGGAGCAGCAAAGGGTATTTACAACTACAACCATACTACCTAATTGTGTAGTGGGAGGTGTTTGCTGGCAATGGAACCCAGGGCCTCATGCTATGCAAGCACTCTACCCCTAAAGGACATCCCCAGGCCCTTTTATTTTTGAGACAGAATATTAAGTTGCCCAGGCTGACCTCAACCTTTCCATCCTCTGCCTCGTCTTCCTAAGTACATGCATAGGACTACAGGCATGTGCCAAAACGCCTGCCCATACCATTTCGTGTTACACAAATAATTGTTTGAGCCAAATAGCTTTTATAGACCGAAAAATATGCACTGCATTCAACAAAGCTCTGAAGCCCATTTCAGCCAAAAGAACGTTCACAACTCAAAAAGACCAGATGAGGCATGCCCCCAATCTAAGTTGTTCAACTTTAGGAAATGATCCTTGCTATTTCCTGTGAGATGGAGTTATTCCTCTTGGACCTGTGGCATCTCTAAGGCCACCTCACACTGTACCTCCCTAGCATAGCATAGGCCCTAGTTGGACACAAAATTGGACTTGGAATTTGGAAGAAAGGGCAGGGTCTATGCACAGGTCAGGCGTCCTTAAGCCTTGGCAACCCAAGCAGGTAGAGTAGTTGCCCCCGAAGTGACCCCACCTTGCCTACCAATTGAGACACTTTGTTACCAGGCCTGGCGCCAGCTAGAGGCTGGATTGCTTCCCGCTCATTGGCCAGAGAAGCTCCTCAGAGAAGTCCTTGTTACTATAGGCGAGAATGAGAGCCCATTGGCCAGGACACTTCACAATGCCCAAACGGCCTTCAGGGTTCTTCGGATTGGTTCGCTGTCTTGTCTCGATGACCCTATGGCCTGGAACCCTGGCAGGCTGCTTGGTGCCAGGAACGAGCGCTCCCCTCAGACGCCAGCTCCCCATTGGCTGTCCTGGCACCGCCCTCCCAACCAGGAGCTAGGAGCAAAGCCTCAGAGCGCGCTCCCTGCGGCCAGACCTAGTACCACGGGAGAGCTAGTACCATGTGAGACCCAGGAGCTCGGCCTGTCTCCCTGGCCTCGAAGGTGAAGGCCTGCTATAGAGGACGCTGTGCTCTCTGCGGACCTGCTCTGTCTCCCAGCGCGGGGCCTTCCCCTCGGAGCTCCGCATCCCCAACCTGGAAACCAACCCCGAAGGCTTCAGTAAGTTTGACTAACCCACTTAGGTGCGAACCCACTTAGGAGCGGCGGAGAGAGGCGTCCCAACTCTGCGAATCTGCTGTTAACCCCTTAATTGTTTAACCAGCAGCTGTTGATCGCTTCATTAATTTAGTTTTCTGGGTCCACCCCACTGTGCCACCTGTCTAAATCCTTACTTTTCTCTGATATGCTGGAATCTTGTGCCCTAAAGTATCCCGATTGAGATCCTAATTGGGAAGTGGTGGACCGAGGGTGAAACCTCAGAGGGACGATGTTCTACTATCCCAACGTGCTTCAGCGCCACACTGGCTGCTTTGCCACTATCTGGTGAGGGCCAGACTGGTAGGAATGCCGGGAGAGGTAACCGGGGATCCCAGACTAACGGCTTCCTCTCATACTCACCTTCCCACCCGCTCCAGGCTGGCAGCTACGCGCGGCAGCCGGTTGGTGAAGCGTGAGTACCTTAAGGTGAACGTAGTGAAGACCTGGTAAGGCCCAGAAAAGGAGGAAGGAGGGC